AAATATCAAACTAATCCCCTATATATAATTACTAACACTCAAATCTAGGTGAGCCTTGGCCACTTTGGTTGGTTTAGGTCACAGATAAATTAGTCTGAGTTTCTATTCTTTTTATAATATTTTAAAAGCAGAATTGTACTTTATGTAAAATCTTAATTAAATATTTAATAAAGATAGAGGCATGGCTTTACTATTAATAATAAAAAAAAATAAAAATAAAAAATAAATAATTATATTAAAATAATATATCTTTTGCTTAGACAATATATATATAAAATTATTAGTTTTCAATTAATAGAAATTCTTGTAATGTTTTTCTGTATTCAAATAAAAAATTGCATATTATAAATATTTAATTTTTTTTTAAAAAAAAAATATTAATGGTGAGGCCATGCCTTTAATTTATTGAAATTTAATTAAGATTTTATAAAGAAAAGCTTGCTTTTAAATTACATATGAAGAATAAAGACTCAGACATATAATCTGTAACTTAAACCTACAAGAGTAGTCAAGGCTCATCTAGATTTGGGTTTGAGCAATAATATAGAAAAGAGGGATATGGTATTTAATCCATTAAATAGTCCAAAAATCAATTTTAGTAATAATGTGTAGTATTAAAATAGAAGGTGAAAGTAGACTAGAAAAATGACTATGAGTTAAATTAGTAAGAAGTATAGTCTAGAACTGTACAGAACATAAAATACAACATGAGATCCATATTTGTTTGTATATTTGTTGGTTTAAGTAAAAAAGAAATTTAATAAAAAGAGTAGTAACAGTATAGTAAAAGATAGAAGTATTGTGGATAGTAGAAATAAGATCAATAGAAACTAGACCAGATAGGGTAAAAATAAAAGAAGATATATGTGAAGAGTTATGCAGTTTGAAACTGTTAAGTGTAAGAATTTCAGTATATAAATTAAAAACAAGACATATCAAGATTAGTTGTATTTAAAATACTATTAAAAGAATTAGAGATTAAGTAGTAAATTGTTTAGATTGATGAGCAGATGACCAAATGGAGTAAAGACCTAGTTTGGTTGCATTAATAACAGAAGGAAGAGAATGAATAATTACATTTATAAAGAGTATGAAGAACAGGAAGTTCATCTGTAAGGATTTTAACTTGAAAACTTTTCAGAATATATAAGTAAAAGCTGTAAGCAAAGGTAAAAATTTTTTGATTATTGTTAATGTAAAACCATGTAGCTTCCTAGTTAATGTCAGATGCAATGATAGACTATTGTTAAAAATGATGTTGAGATGTTCAAAGTGTTATAATATGGGTTTGGCATATAGTTCGAATAGAGCATTAGATAGAAATTTCAATAGAAAATTCATTAAGAAAAAAAGTATAGTTAAGGTTATAAGAATTATTAGTTAAAAATATTAGGTAAGGTAATATTTGGTGATTATGAGCAAGTTAATTAGCAAGGTTATTAAATGGATCATCTTGATGTACAGTAACTTTATGAAAAATAAGTTAAATTTCATAAAACTTGATAAAGTTAATAAGTGTTTGCCAAATAGAAAAATATGGAGTATGAGTATAGAAAAAAGTAAATGCTGATTGGCAGATGTTATAATATTTAGAGATTACTGATTGTAAGTTAGTAAATATTTAAACAGAGTAATATCTAGAAGCAGTAATAATTGCTGAGAGAATAGCAAGAATTTCAGCTTTGAAGGAGCTTAGTCACAGTTTAACTTGTGTCTAAAATGAATTAATAGTTGTATAGTCATCAACTTGAACCCAACCTATGCCCATAGAGCATTGTTAGCTATCAAGATCAATAACAGAACCATTAGTATAAAATGAAATAGATAATAGATTGTGATTTGAGTTAGCAATAGTTTGAAGATTATTAACAAGTTGGCATGTTTCAAAAATAGGAAGTAGTTGTTGTAGATTAATTGTAAGTAAAGGAGAAGATAAAATATGCAAAGAGCAACAGAGTATGCAATATTGAGAAAGTTTGAATAAAGGTTGAGAGATTTGTTAGGATTGATGTGACAAAGCATTTAATAACCAAGTTAGTAGAAATGAAAATAGTATATTTGTTAGCAATTGTATTTGAATTAAGATGACATCTAGTACATAATGTGGTAGTAGAAAGAGGAGTAGGATAAAGATTAGAGAACTGAGACTGGAATGAGCAGTACTAGTGGTTAATAAGAATAAGGCCAATGAGTGTATTATGCTTTTTGGTCTTGCTAATAATTATTTGGTTATTAAGAACAGTAAGTAATCAAGGTTTAGTATTGAAAGTAAAGTGGCCAATAGAGTAGCAGAAGTAGTTTATAGAAGGTAGATTATAACAATCATATAAAGTGTGTTAGTAGGAGTAACTTGTAGTAATGTTCTCAAGAATAGTAAACCATTGTGATATAATACCTTTTGAAATTTTGTTAAGTCTAGATGAAATATGTTGTTAGTACAAAAGATATTAGTTGTTATGAGTAGTGAGTTGGTTCAGAAAAAGAAGTTTATAATGTCTGAGTTGTTTTTTGAAAATAGGATATTTTGAATAAGAAAAAAAAAGAAATTCAATAGATATAGTTCTATTATTAGGATATATGAAATGTTGTAGATTGGGTTAGTTAAAAAAATTCAGTCTATATGTTTGATAAGTTGTATTATTTTAAAGTTTGTAATTAATTAATTGGGTCTATTAATAGTTGGCTTGGAATGAAAGAAAATATTAGTAGAAAACCAGAGGTTGTTTTGGAGTTATTGAATATATATATAAGTAGATATGCCTAGTAGGTCAGAATTGTTAAGCTGTTTAAGAAGATTGGAAATATAATGTTGTAGTTGAATATTTTAGATATGTTTAATATTGTAGATTTGAGGATGTAATAAGATACTAGATGGTATTGTACAGCAAAGTTTAATTTTAAGCTTAACAAAACCAATGTGTTAAGTAAAAATTTTGTTGCAAGTAGATTGATTAATAACAATATTACAATAAGTAAATCTGTGCTCAGTTAATTATGTGACAACAGTCAAATGATCTTCTATGCATATGATTTGATGCAGTGTAACAATAATAATACATAATCACATAGTATAATAAAATAAGTTAAAAGAGACCCTTAACATTATTAAAACTTTATCAATATGTAGTAATATGCAAAAATGAAATTTTAGATAGATTCTTATTAAAGGCTCAGAAAACCTAGAAATTCATTTATTTTTATATAGAAAAAAGAATTTCACAGCATATTAAACTGTATAATTTCAACATTAAAAAAATAAAACTAAAATTTTTTCTAAGGACATTATATTTGACAATATTAAACGCAATCAAATTTCTAAAAATTTTATTATGAAAGATATAATTTTTAGAACATATTATTTGTTCAGTTGTTAAAAACTCTATATTACTTTATCAGAAGTTCTTTAAAACTTTATTATTTACCATCGCATGACTTATTTTAACCATTAGCTATATTTTTTGAAATAGCTTGGTTTAAGTTATGCTATTATTTTTTTTGATGTTTTTTCTATGCTGGCATAATAGAACAATCTAGTTCTTGCATTTCAATGTTATTAATTTGTAAATTTTCTCTTAGTCTCTCTTGAGACACTTCCTTGATGCCATGATTTAAACTTTTTTTATGGCGTGAGGTAGCAGTAACCTGAACTCGTATCTTTTTTCCACAGCATCGATAGCTCTTACCATTAATTTGTCGTATATTTCTATCACAAATATGAAGAAAGAAAGTTACAGCTTGATGAACATAAGTATCTTGCATGTGCCTATGCCATTTATATGATTTGATAAACTTATGAACACTATTATTTAACTCAGAGTTATTTTGTTTTAAAAGATTTTCTAGATCGCTGCAAAACAAATGAAGTTTATTTATTGCACTTTCACTATTATTTTCATTGTTGCTAGTATCATTATTGCTATTATTACTATCACTACTATCAACTCTATTATTATCATCAATGGTATTTGAAGACTCTAGTAAAGTGAATATATTTTCATCATCGGAATCATTAAATTCATTATCATGTATATTTTTAATTAGAAAATTTCTAATTTCTTGCTTCTTATCAACTACTTTATGTGCGTATTCTTTTTTTTCGAGTTGTTTCTAGTGAAGATCAGCATAAAAACTTAAAGATTGGTGCTTCTTACCTAATGCTAAGTAAGCATAATCGTATCACTTTTCCATAGACATTGTAGGTAATTGGTTTAATTCACATATATTATAATGCTTAGCTATAGAAGCTTGATGCTTACATAGTGCACCCATTTGATTACATTCACATTTCCAAGTTTCATATCCACGAGATACCATATGTTGGGATTTTTATTACTTCTGTGTCTATATACTAATGAATCCTGATCCACAACTTTAATTTTATCTTTCATCCTGATTAACCACTCAGTAAGCCGAAAGCAAAGAGCAATAAAATTATCTAACTTGTTATGAGCCACCACCAACAATCTGTGAACATAATAAAAATCCATAGTGTTGATAATAAACTGGAAAATTTGAATTACATTGTATGCTTGTATCTGTTTAAAAATAATTTTCTTTATTACTTTAATTCCAACTTCAGCGAAATTGTTGGTATGATTATTATGAATTGAAAGCTGTTGGTGGAATGCAATAGCCCATTCATGGTGATGTTCCCAAGAAATCTTAAAATAAGTTTGAAAAGTCAGATACTTTTGGTAAATACTACTCTTAATTAAGTCTGAGTATGCTATATTAAAAGCAACTTCTATTTTTGAAAAAACCATTTTTTTTATATGTTCAATTAGAACTGCACAATCGTTATTATGATCTTATATTTACTGTCTCAGAGCCATTTCCATATCACTTGTAAAAAAATGAAAGATACAAAGAAGCAATGTTGCATTTATTCAGGTATTGTGAAGTGCCACTTTTTCTGCCCTACAATTAGAGATAGTAAAAATCTGATTTAAGCACATAATCATCATCTGTTTTTAATTCATAATAAAAAATGGTTGTTGTTCCTACTTACAATCATCTGTCATGACCACCTGTAGTCCAATGATAGGTCCCCTTCCACTGAATGCTGTTGATGAAGCCATATTTTTCATTACATTTAATGCTTTTGTAAAAGTAGTTACTATTTCATCAGATGTAAGAATTACAGTGAATGGTAAACTACCAGCAGGTGTACTGGTAGAAAGGATCATAAGAGGAGTATTTAGAACATTGAGTCTAGCCATTGTATTCATGTATACTAATTCACCCGCTTCTTGTAACTCATGACAATGTTTCATAAGGTTTGTTATTACAACTAGGATAAAGGGTTGTTCTGGGTTATCTTGACCTGATGAAATGTATTTTTGCATTTATGCATTTTCTTTTCTGTTAACATTAAATTCCATAACCTCTTTCTCTAACCAACTAAACATACTACTTCTATTTTGAGTGCCTATGTACTTTTCATGGTATTTTTTATAGAGATATTTGACATCATTTTTGTGAAGAAATAATGCCCTGTCAGCTAACATTTCTTTATCATTTTCATATTTCAATTGCATTTATTCCCAATAAGTGTGGTAAGCACTATTAGAACTATGTCCTATATCAAAAAGCTTAATAATAGCATTTTTGGTTTCTTCTGATATTGGATAAAAGCTTGTGATGTGACTTGATCAAAGAGGGTGATTATGATGAAAAAATAAGTCAACAATGCATAGATAAGGATTATCTCTTTTAAGTAGCTAAACTTTTAATGTCACTAAACATTTGTATCCCTTATTTGTGTACTTATAATGTTATTATTTAAGCTGTTTTCACAATTAACAATTATAGTTTTCTTTTGTTTTAGCTTTACAGCATGACTGTAAATACAGTAAAACCATTTTGAGAAAATATAATGAATGTTCTTGATAGTACAACCTTTAGTTTCTCATATTGTCACTTTGTAAAGGTTTATGAATTCCTGAAGCCACAAGTTAGTATCCTCAATTGTTTTAATATTTATGTGAAATTTACTTTTAAAAGGTTTTTCATAAGCATCTAGAAATTCATGTTGTAAAATTTGTTCAATAGAGTTTACAAAATACTTGTAGTTTGAAGGTAATGAGTTTTTAATAATTGAATCATAGATGTTCAAGGCTTTGATATTTAAAGTATTAGAATAAGATATATTATTTAAGATCAATTCTATGATGATTCTTTTAAATTTTTTTTAGTAATGTAATAGTAATTTTATTATGTCCAAGGATCAAGAAGGCATCACAAGAACTAACTATTCATTTGAACTGAAAAATGAAAGAGTTAGATTTCAAAAAAAAAAACTTTCTTATATATTAACAAGAACAATAATTATGTAAGTACAAAAAAGTTGATAGAAGGAAGTTTAAACATAACAATAATATAAGGTTTTATGCATGTTTCAAAAACTTGCATATTATGAAATTTGAATTTTTATTAATATTTAACATTCATAGAAAGACTCTAATATGATTGGCTGTCTACATTATTTCATATTATTTATACAGCTTAGAATACTTTTTATAAATAAAACTACAGTGATTAAATGAAAATAGCTATATAGAAGGTATTATTAGAGTTGTAGGACTTTAATATTGAAAATAATAATTCCATTTTTGTTTTAGAAAGTTAACATGTAATAATCTATTTTAAAAAGTTGTTATACTAACCTCTTTAAAATACAAATGGATTTTGATTATTTTCAATAGTGGAGCCCTACAATCCCAATAAAACTATTTATTCTTTGTAGTACTTAAAACTGTACAAATAATGTAAAATTAAGTAGATTTAAAACAGTCAATCGAGGACTCTTTCCGTAAATTCTTTTTACACAAAAATAACTAAAAATCCGTCAGTACTAAAATCGTCAATACCTGGTTATTT